ACACAGCTGACAAGGACAGCACTATGGGGAAAACACAAGTGCACAAGTGGCTTTCTCATTTCAAAAAAGTGAAATGTCGATTGATGACAAACCTTCTTCAGGACGTCTGCCATCTTCCCAAAGGGACCAAAATGTCAACTCATACTGCATTTGGAGTTTGTTCCACCAGGTCAGAATGGTAATCAAACTTTCTATTTAGAGGTTCTGAAAAGATGATGTAACAGTGTACAACAAAAAAGGCCTGATTTGTGGCAGATAGGGAACTGGTTTTGCCACCGTAATAATGCACCTGCTCACGCAGCCATCTCGGTGTATCAGGTTTTGGTTAAAAACAGCTTGCCTCTCTTGTCCTACACTTCTTACTCACCTGCCGTTGCTCCGTATGACTTTGTTTTGTTTCTGATAATGTAGAGGAACATGGGCGAACAGCGATTGGATGATGTAGAGAGGTAAAGAAAAAAAAACAAGGGAGGTGCTGTCAGCCATCCAAACAGATGAGTTTGAAAACTGTTTCCTAGAATGGAATCGCAGATTTGACAAACGTATTACGTGTAATGGAGAGTACTTTGAAGGTGATAAGGTTGTTTTGTACAAAAAAATTAAAATAAAAAATCAAATACTTAGCTTTGAGGGGGAAAAAACGGTTTTGGGGGGTACCCCCTCATGTACTGAAAGCACTTGGCACACAGTATGTTAGCTGATGTCATCCCCTTCCACCCCCCAAAATTGAGCTTTAACTTTCAAAAAGTTCTGCCACCACCATAAGATATTACGGTAAGACGTTACGTAAGACATTTCAAAGCAGTTGGCTTTGAAAATAATTAGTGTCTTCCTCACTATTATGTTCTAAAGAATTTTCTTTCAGTTAAACTTCTTATAAGTATTGCTAATAAAATGCTCAGTTCGCAGGCGTTTCATGGTAAAGAGGAAAAGAGGTCTTTGGACAATTTAAATGTGTTTCATCTGGGCCAGAGAGACGTGAGAGATGGTGCAGCTCTTTGCCCCTTTTCAGAGACGGACCTCCACCCACCCAAGGTGGAAATCAGACCTTTGGGCGTCATCCTCAATTCCAGCTTTCTCTGAGCCTCCTCCCTCACTCTACCAACACGTCCTGTTGGGTCTTGTTACAGATTTGATTGTGTGCCCCTAAATGGTATGCTGAGTCCCTGTGAATGTGACCTTGTTTGAGGAAATCACCTTTCTTTGAAGATATTTTTA